TTTTGGAAACCATCTGAAAGCACCATGTTTTCACGGTTTCTTTTATGCACAGCATGTTTTAAGTGCAACAAAGATTTGCTGTGCAAATATATTTTCTATGTGCAAGTTATTAAGCTGTGCTTTGCTCTAATATCAGAAATGAGGTCCAGCTGTAAAGTTACAGCAGCAACAACTATGGATTGCATTGTCACTGGAATATACATGCATTCAGGTGCTGATGCAGAACGTGTAAGAATGTTTTTATAGTTTACTTGATTCTAATCTGTTGCTGAGTTTGTTTTACGCTGCTGGAATTGCAGCTTTTATAATACAGAGCACACACCGAGAATACCTGCTTAATCAATAAAATTAATTCATTTGATCTGGCAACAAACTAAAACTATTTCCATCTCTCCTTTATTATGTGACTTTAATGTTTAAATGTAACCAGTTTAAAGTTTCAGAGCTCTAATGTGCATCTATCACATTAGAAATAAACAGTAGCAGCCAGAGAGTGCACTCAGGATTTATTATTCTAATTACTGTGAATTGTAGTTCTTGTGATACTGACTTCACACCTCATCTATTAGTTGTAGTATCAAGTGTGCATCCCGTGTCTTATTTCTGTGTTTGTGCCTTGGGTTCTTTGTGTTTCATTGCAAATCTTGTTGCGTTATTATGAATGTCTTTCTCAGTCTCCTTTGGCTATTTGCAGTTTTACTTTGAAGATCTGTTTTCTTTCCTGTCCTGTGTTAGTTTTGCTTCCTCTCTATTTCCTCCCAATCGTCCCTCCAATTGACTGTCTTCGCCTGTGTGCGATTGCTTTCACCTGTGTCTTGTTATCCTCCTTTTGGACATTCACTAACCAGCCCACTGTGTATTAATACATCTGTCTCCCTTTTTATCTTGTCAGATCATCTGTGCTTGCTGTCTTGCTGACATGTATTCTCTCTAGAGCTGCTGTGTGTTTCCTTTGTTCCAGACTTGTGATTAATCAGCAAAATAAAGGCTCTTTTTTTCTGTACATCGTATACTTTAGTTATCCTGAATTTGGGTTCACTCTGATCACTCTGATCTCAAATCCATGTCAAGGCATGGGGAGTAAGTAGGGACTAGATCACAAACTGGTACAACTAAATACCAGCACCATGAAATCTGATGGTTCCAGCCAGGCATTAATGTATGAAGAGCTCGCAGTGACAACTGGTTGGAGTGACATGTTTCTATGACTAACATTGCAGTTTTTTAAGCTCAATCTGACATTACATTTACTAAAGTTTAAATACAAACAGAATGCAATGAAAGCAAATCTCCATCCAATATAGATTTTCAGCCTTTCCACTTTTGCACAGAGATTTTTCCAGATTCTCTTCTATTTAATGATATTGTGCACTGCAGATGATATTCAAAATCGTTACATTTTGACTTTGAGGAATTTAAAATTGGGAGCCTGATCTTGGTATTTTTCTTTAAAAAGTAATGGTTTCAGTTTAAACAATTGATATGGTTTATGAGATTTGCAAAAATAATTTGCAAGTCGTTACACTTCTTAGATTAATTTTACATCTTGCACGTTATTTGCATCTTAATTCCCTCACAGTAGGAGATGTAAAATAAAAAAAACAACTAGTTACTCTGAAACTGGGCTACATATGAAATGTTATATATGTAACATGCATCTC